TCAGTGACAGGTAAGTTCATGGGCCTATAAAAATCATAATAAAGAAAAGGATGCTTGAGATTTTGACTGTAGATTACTTTTGTTAAAGGATATTAATTAAACAAGATCATTAACCTATTCTCCTTTCAATCTGTAGCAAGATATAACAAGAGTTTACAAAAATTACAAGGTGATTGCTCCTAGCTACATTAGCTAGCTTTTCTAAAGTTTTCTTTCTCTTATATTCATGATTCGGGGACAGAAGTCATTCATAGTAAGAAGGCATTCCATAGATAACAATTTAATTACAAAGACAGTATAAATGGATGTGATAAATCTATAGGTACAGGAACGTGTAGACTCAAATAAAATGGAATAAAAAGAGTCCTTGTTAAAGAGAAATGACAAAACTTCTATTATGATCTATCCACCCTTAAAGTACTGATTTTCAGTGTGTGGTCTGTGGACTATGGCAGGGGCTGAGTGGGAGGTGGAGAGGTCTCCAAGACAATTTCAGGAGGTCCATAAGGTAAAAACTATTTTCATAATAATACTAGGTAGGGCATTGTTTCTCTTTTTCACAATGTTGACATTCGCATCCCTGATGGGTAAAACTGATGACATCTTTGCATGAGTCAAGGTAGTGGCAATAAACTGTGCTAGTAATTGTATTCACATCATGCACTTGTCAAAAACAAAACCAAAAAGCCAGTCCAACTTAAAATATTAATGAAGCAGTAAAAATTATTTTATAAAGCCTAACTCTTGAGCACATCTTTTTAATATTTTCTATGACAAAATGGAAAGTATGCATAAAGCATTTTTGTATATTTAAGTACAATAGTTGTCTAAAAAAGCACTCATTACAAGTTAGCTGAATTAGCACTTTTTTTTACGGAAAGCCATTTTTAGTAGAAAGAACAACTAACAAGTCATTTTGAGTTGGGTGATTTGGTAGACATTTTCTTGAAAATGAAGTTAGCCTGTCACTGCAGAAAAAAGTTTGCTGCCAATGATAAAATGGGAGATTTTATTTTTAAAAAAAATTTTTAAAGTAGGCTCCATGCCCAGTGCAGAGTTCAATGTGGGGCTTGAACTCATGACTCTGAGATCAAGGCCTGAGCTGAGATCAAGAGTCGGACGCTTAACCGACTGAGCCACCTAGGCGCCCCCAAATAGGAGCTTTTAAATGGGAATTAGAATTTTGTTAAACTTTATTAGCCTTTGTAAACTTGATATCTTCCTAATCTTAAAAGACTTTTCTGATGAGATCAGCTAATTAATGAATGTAATTTTTTTGGTTTAATACATAAAATTTAATTTTTATAGTTTAATATTAATGTGTCAATATATGGAATAATTTAATTAAATGATTAATTATATAGTTTAATACATAAAATATAATTTTTAGTTTAATATTAATGTGTCAATATATGGAATCTGTGTAATTCAGAACAATGACATTTTCCAAATGATCAGTGTCTGATGTTACAACACAGATAAAAGATTTATTTGAAGTGCAAGAAAGACTAATAGAATTAAATGTAACAAAGGGAGTGAAAAGTTCATGATACGGTTTCCCATTCCATACTGCAGCTCTTAAAACCACTTGTCAAGTTTTGGTATATTATCAAAGTTACCCACAATTAACTGAAGACTATTAAAATACTCCTTTTTTTAAATACATTGTTGTGTGAGGCTGGCTTTTACTTGTTTTTACCAAAACACTATACTGCAACAGATTAAATGCAGAAATTGGTATGAGAATCCAGCACTCTTCTACTAAGCCAGATATTGAAGAGAACTGCAAAATTGTAAAAACAGTGCCAGTCTTCATTTTTGGGGGGCAGGGAACAGTTATTTTTCATAAAAATGTTTATTTGTGTTACTATGCAACGGATTTATTATTTTTAAGTGAATTAATAAGCATTTTTAAAAATTCTTAGTTTTCATTTCTATATGGTAGCCTACATAAACAAAAACTCTTTAAGGTTCTCAATCATTTTCAAGAGTGTAAGGAGTACAGAGACTAAAGTTTGACAACTTCTGATATAAAGTAACATACCAATGCTTCAGATTTGCTAATAGTTCTGTGCTTTAAAAACAATTCTTCCTACTGCTAATCAAAAGGCCAGTCTCCTCTTTATCCCCAGTGTTCTATACTTACTATTTCGTTAACTGTATATGATCATTTTAACTGGATTTGTGACCCCATACGGAACAGTTTATAGTGAAAACAAAAACGTTACGTATTGGATTCTTCTCAGCAAACATGCACAGCTACATATTTTTCTGAAAACATTTTCTCAACGTAAATGACCGATGTATTTAAAATTTGTCAATACCTGCTTCACTGCACCGCGTCTTAAAAATTTCAAAAAAAGTCGGCCTCTCTTTGTCTCCAATAGGCATTTTTATCTACAATATTGCTCCAATGCTTGGTAAATAACTCTGCAAAAGACAACACCAAAATACACTTCACAGGGATGCAGTCCTTGTTAACCGACTCTGAGGTAAAATCAGAAACAGGTAAACTTGCTTAAAGTTATTTACCTCGGTCCTATCTTTTGGGACAATAATCGAACTCACTGCGAGGATGGGAGCATTCTATATTTGTGCTGCCCGATACAATAGCCACTAGCCACAGCAAGCATTTGAAACATGGCAAGTATGATTCAAGAACAGAATTATAAATACTATTAACTTTAATTACCTAGTTACGTGTGGCTAGGGGGTGCACAGTCAACGACGAGTCCTATTAGAGATAAAAATATTTTAACAATGTCAAATCAGTAAATCTTCGTAATACGGCAATTGCCTGGGGGTTAAGTAAGGCAGATACAGTGAGTCAGGAGCTGTGAAACACTTTCTAAAATTACAAAATTCCGTTAAAGTAACTTCATCGTATTTCCAATTAAGGAAATTTCAGAGTGGGACTTCTGGGGCAGCTAAAGGGCAAATCCTGGGCGGCTGGCGGGGCGCAAACTTGGGGAGTGGAGTTCCAGGGAAGGGGCGGGGCTCGAGTTTGCTTAGCCGAGGGGCCGAACCTTCCGCCCTTTCTCCCAGTGGATGCGAGGCGGCCAGAGACCCGAGGGTGGGGGGCGGGGGGGAGGCAGGAGGCCGCGGCTCCCACCCAGGGACTGAGGGGCGTTCCCCCTCCGCCTCACACCGCGAGACAGGCTCGTCCGTCTCCACCCAGCCAACACTAACCGTCTCCGGAGGTGCAGCTCTTTTTGGCCAGAGAAGGCTGACAAAAACCGCGCCGGCCCTTCGATCAGAAAGCTGACCCGCAGACTCCTTTCCGCGGCGATCCACGGCTGGGACTACTTCCAATGCCCCGAGCCCCAGCAGCTCCGCCTCCGCCTCCGCCGACCTTATTTCAGACTCTCGCGCCAAAAGCCCGCTCTCCGGGCACGTCACGCGGTGACGTCGTGACGTGACACGCAGCGTGCGTGCCACCCGGAAGTCAGCTTCTGGGCGGGCGGCTGGCGCACGCCTCTCCCTGAGCCTTCAGAGTAGGAGGCGGTGCTGCTGGGGGTGACCGCGCACTGTGTATCCTCCCCGACTCCTCCCCCTTCTCTCTGCTCCACCTCACGTTTGGATGGTCGCCGAGCGACAGGGCCTGGGGTCTTTGAAAGAACTTTGTTCTGCCCTTAGAGTGAACGGTCCCCCAAAGTGGCCCGTGGTTGTGGCTAACTGCCTTCCCTGCTGCGTGCTCTCTACAGAGTAGAAAGGGATAAGATTTGAAGCCAGAGGACTTTAGTTCTAGTCCGCATGTTGCTCTTAGGTAGCAGGTTTTCAAGCCCTTTAAGCCTGTTTGCCCCCTTGAAAAATTGTGAAGCCACTTTAACTCTCTCCTGCGATGTTAGGTACTACCCTTTGCAGGATTCCGTAGCGTCCTTTACATTCTTCGGGTGCTCATCACCTCATTTTGTGCTTGTCTTCTCTCCAAGTTGCCCTGGGAGAAGGGAATTTGTTCTCATTCACAGAGTCTGACATGAGCAGCACGAAGCTTAATTCACGTTTGTTGTATAACCTAGAAAGCTTTCAACTGGTGTGGAGTAAGAGCTGCTCATAGACCTTGCTGCTTCCAGAAAGCTCTTGAGCAGTAAACAGCGAAAGAGCCCTGGATTAGAAAAAGGGTGGTCTGTACGTGGTTACATAGGCGTCATTTTAGTTTGATCATACTCTTTAGCTTTGGCAGGAAGCCTTACCAATACAGATAGTAAAGCTTATGATAGTTACCACTTACTGAACACTTATGAGTTATTCTGTTTTGTGTTTTACGGGTAATACCACATTAAATCTTATAATCCTATAAATTAGTATTGTCAGATGGGGAAACCAAATCACCAGGTTAAGTAACTTGCCTGGTAACAAGGCCCAGGTTTCAATTCAAGTCCCTTTGATTTCAGATACTTAACCCGTGATTAAATTTCTATTTATCCTTTAAATCAAAATAATTTGCCTTTTTTTTCACCTTTTTCGGAGAGGGATCTTCACTAGGGGTGAATTAATGAGAACTGTTGGCATACATTGCAACCCTCTGAAATACATTTCCTCACACTATATACAACCCTCTCCCCATAACGTTATGCTCCTTGCTTCTGTGGTTCTAGGGTCTTTACATTTGTTATCTCTGCCATAGTATACTTACTTCCTTATACTCTTCTGGTTTGCTGTTCAAATAACTTGCTATTTGCATTTCATTTACTATATGCTTTAAAACAGTATCTCTAAAATAGTTACTATAGGATACATGAGTCACTTGCTAATGAAAGCATGTGTGCGAATAAGAAGTCAGAAATGAAAAACAGCTTTGAAAAAGATTCAGGGACAGTGAATTGAAGAGATGGGGAAGAGCAATTAGGAATCAGGTGGAAATTAGGCCTCTGTAGATAGGTACATCTCCTGTCCTTTAATTAGGGTAATAGGCAGCAGCTCCCATCAGGATCTGAAATAAAGGGAGAAGCTTGGAATGAACCTGCACTAACTTGATCAGGGGGAAAAAGAAGGGGTGGATGAAGGTGGAAGGCAAAACAAGGAGACAAACCCCCCGGGATATTGTGCTGTGTCTGGGTACCGGGTGAGCCGATGGAGCGCTTTGTCCGTGTTCCCTATGGCTTGTACCAGGGCTATGGGAATGCAGTGCCTTTGGGCCATCCCGGACTCTCTGAACACAAACAGCCCGACTGGAGGCGAAACACTGGTCCCCCCACTTTTCTGGCCAGGCCTGGGTTGCTGGTGCCTGCAAATGCCTCTGACTACTGCATGGACCCTTACAAGAGGGCACAGCTTAAGGCTGTTCTCTCCCAGATGAACCCCAGCCTGAGCCTGCGGCTTTACAAGGCCAACACCAGGGAGGTGGGTGTGCAGGTGAGCCCACGGGTGGACAAGTACGTGCAGTGCTCACTGGGGCCTCGCACCTTGTGCAGCTGCTCTCCTTGGGGCAGCACGGGCCACAAGGCACCCCTATCAGCCTGGGGAGTCTATTCGCCAGTGATAGGCCGCAGGGGCTTGATTCAGCTGCAGAGGGAGGAGGAAGACCAGGAGAGGAAGGCACTTTTGGGTCCTGCTGAGGCCAGCCAGCAGCAGCAGCCACCACCAACACCTAGGTCGGAGGAGGATAAGCAGGAGGAACTTCACCAGCACGATGAGCTGGAGGAGGAAGATGCCTCAAGTCCCCGGGAAAGGAAGAGCAAGCAGGCCCAGGGAGGTGGGCGAGCAGATCTGCTCAGGAAACCCAATTTCCAGGTGAACTTTCTCCTCCCTGTCCTCAGTCCTCAGCTAGCCTCATCCTTTCTTTCCTCTTTTCCATTTCTGGGGCAACAGAGCAAAAATCTTCTTTTGCTTTCTCCCTTTACTTGATGAAGGAGAGGTAGTTCTGAAAACGTGTTTCACATGGCCTATAGATTTTGTAACTTTGGTAAAATAGGGTGCCAACTTTAAGCATGTGAAAACCGAAAGTCTGGCAGCTACTGCCATTGGGAATGAGGAGATAAAATGGGGTTTCAAGCCTGTCAAATATATGATCAGATTTTCATTCAGGGGAGATTGTGCTGGTGGCATTGTTGAAAGAACATTAGAAAAGTATGAGAGACGGGAACAATGAGAATCCCAGAGTAATCCTTGAAAGATGAGATGCTAAATTAGTGTAGTAGGCTTGAGAAGAGCCATGAATGAGGTTAAGGAAGCTTTTTGTTTTTTTATATGAAGCCATGAGGAAAGAGGATCTGGCTTTCCCCTTCTCCCCCCCAAGATTGTAAAAGGCTTTTCCCCCTTATCTGCAGTTTTTGGAACCAAAATATGGCTATTTTCACTGTAAAGATTGTAAGACCAGATGGGAGAGTGCTTATGTGTGGTGCATTTCTGGAACTAATAAGGTAAGTAAAGGTGAGCGAAATGTGGGAGGAGGGTGGGTTAGACACAGATGTTAAATAGAGGGAGAGTGTTTCCTGATGGAGCATGACCATAATGCTGTCTCATTCATTTGGCATCCTTAGTGCCAGGCACTTAATAGGTACTAAATGTTTGAACTGAACCTATTTGGACTGTCCATATGAACTCCTGAGGCTCTTAAACCTGGTGTTACATTTGGTTTGGTAGTTCTGTTGAACAAAATTTCAGGTTATTTAGGTGAACTCTTGTCATTGTGTATGGTGGAAATGTCTGTACTCATTTCTTAGTATATTTTTGAACCTGTTTGGGCCTTAGCTCCTGGAAATTTCCATGGTCTGTCCACAAGGTGGGGCAATAAGAGAAATTATTGTGAAGGTTAACCTCGGAGAGACTTCTTTAGGCTAAGCAGTCCCCCCCCCCTTAATTTTAATTAGTTGTCAACCTATTAAGATTGGGAAAGATTTCACGATCTGCATTTCCAGATTTCCCTGATAGACTCTGGTCACTATAGACTCTCACTTCAGTGTGAAGACTCTAGGCTGGGGCTTAGCAGTTTCTAGCTCCTTTCACTGGGCATGCACACTTCATTTTGCAACAGTCTACATCTGGTCTATTTCATTAACTTCAGCAAGCAGTTGAGTTTGAGTCCCCTGTGCTTTCTACATTTTAGATACTGCTTTTCTGGCTAACGGTCTATAGAAGGAGAGGGCAAGGAGGCGTGCTAAGACCTGAGTGAAAACTTGACTTTTCATACTAACCATTTACTAGACCGTGGAGGCAAATGATTTTTAAACTATACTAAAATTACTTAACTCTTTTGCCAGAAGAAAAACAATGGGTTTAATTAAAACACTCCAAGATGCAAGGATACAAAGAACAAGACCTAAACTCATTCTTAAGAAATTTATTCTCCTAGGAATGACACAGAAAAAATGCAATTTGGTGGTAGATACAGTGGCCCCAAGGGCATGGAAGTCATGCAGAAATAACACAGGAGGGGGATGATTACCGTGTCAGAGGGAAGGCATCATGATGTCCATGCAGGATTTTAGAGGGTAAAGAGTTCATCAAGGAAAGCAGGGAGAAAATGTGTACAAGAAAATGCACAGTTGAGAAACAATATGTATGGGTGTGTAATTACAAATAATTTGAAGTTCAGGTGGGGAATTAATGAGAAAATGAAAAAGTGAGGGCTCATAGACTAGGACAGAAGGAGAAGGTCAAGGGTTCAGCCCACACAATGAGCAAAATTATAATAGCTACTTCCCATCGAAGATTTTTACTGTGGTACTTTGTGTATATTGTTCGGTAGTTGTCAGAATTATAGAAAATAAATGGTAGTATCTTGATTTTACAGGTAAGGAAACAGGTTCAAAGAGTGAGAAAAAGTGACTGATAACACCAAAAGAACTTAAGACCTCAGGGTAGAGGTTGGGCAAAAGCAAGGCAGAATGTGGGGGAATGAATTACTTAAATTAAGAACTGGGAGTCTAAGGTACATATAATCTTGTATTAAAAAAAAAAGACTTATTTCTCTTTAGGTTTATTTCAAACAACTATGTTGCAAATGCCAAAAGAGTTTTAACCCTTATCGAGTAGAAGCAATCCAGTGTCAGGTAAGCATGTAGAGCCCTTTCATTATGTCTATAATGTTGCCCCTCTTAAATAGAAGCTTCTGTGGCAAAATGTTGGGATTGGATAGAATTGGATATTTGCATAGGAGTGTTAAGTTTTCTATACCTTGAATCTTTGTAATATTTTAAATCAAAGAAAAATTCTAGATTTTGGGGTGGTGTAGGAACGGGAGAAAGATTGACTCCTTTAAGTTGCTTTATATGGTGTGTTTATGTATGGGCTGTATGTGCTGTTTCTCAAACACCCTGTGTGTAGTTTGGATGTAGCAACTTTTTTTTTTTTTTAATTATTTTCATTCCAGTTAACATAGTGTTATATTAGTTTCAGGTGTACAATATAGTGTTTCAGTAATTCCATATGGATGTAGTAACTTAATAGGTAACCTGTATTAAGCCTTTACTACATACCAAACTTTGGGCTACCTGCTTTACGTGCCTTATCTCCTGTAATCTAAACCTTGAGGTAGGTGTTATTCCCATGTTACAGACCGGAAGGCTAAAGTTCAATAAGAAAATAACTTGCTCAAGTTTAGATCAATAGTAAATATTAGAACTATGATCAGATTTTATGGTGCCTCCAGTGTCTAGGAAGTCACAGAATTAGATGAGAGCTTATCTAAAACAGCTTGCGGGAGACCTCTTTTTAAAATTTTCAGGGAAATGTGACATAGTTCGTTTTTGTAATTGAGTTTTTTTAAATCTAAATCCTCATTTAGTTAAAAATATTTTTCGTACTACTTCAAAATAAATATTCAAAAAAACTAGTCTAATAATTTATAAATGATTTACCTTTAGATTTTCTAGTCTGACATTCAGTCTGTTTATGTTTAATATAATTATAAGTTGGGTTTAAATATATTTTATTTTCTTATACTCCTTTTTCTTGTGTTCAATTGAATTGAGTTTTTAATTAAAAAAATGATTCCCCATCTCTATTATCTTGGTAGTTATTTTTTATTCTTCTTGTAGTTACCTTAGACGTTACAACATGATTCTTTGACCTATCAAGGTCTACATAAACTGTGAACATTACCTCTCGTTGACAATGCAATGAACTTAGAACACTCTAACTCCTTATCACCTCATCCTAATTTATATACTGCTGTTGTATATTTTAATTTTAAACTTCGCAAGACCTTATTTTATATAGTCATTCATTTAGCTTAAGCTACATATATTTCCTTTCTGCTGTTTTTAGGTCTTTTTTGTATCTGGGGCCATTTTCCTTTTACCTGAAGAATACACTTTAATATTTTTTAAAAGATTTTATTTTATTTTATTTTTATTTTTATTTTTTTTAAGATTTTATTTATTTATTTGACAGAGAGAGAGACAGAGCAGGAAACACAAGCAGCAGGAGTGTGAGAGGGAGAGCAGGCTTCCCGCCGAGGAGGGAGCCCGATGTGGGACTCGATCCCAGGACCCTGGGATCATGACCTGAGCCGAAGGCAGATGCTTAACGACTGAGCCACCCAGGCGCCCAAGATTTTATTTTATTTTAGAGAGAGAGAGAGAGTAGTGGGAAGGGCAGAGGGAGAGAATCTTCAAGTAGAATCCCTGCCAAGCACAGAGCCCAACGTGGGGCTTGATCTCAAGACCCTGAGATCTGGGCCAAAACCAAGAGTCAGACACTTAACGAACTGAACTACCCAGGTGCCCCATGTTTTAATACTTAATGTAGTGTAGGTCTGAAGGTGGCACATCCTCTTGGATTTTAAAGGATAATTTTGCTGGGTATAGAATTTTTAGGTTGACAGTAGTTTTCTTTCTGCCCACTAAGGGTCTGACCTTCATTGTTTTTGTGAAGTTGGCTATTAGTATTTTTGCAGCTCTTTTGAAGTAATATCTCTTGCTCTTTGTCTCCTTAAATCTACTTGCTTTTAAGATATTTCTCTCTGCTTTGGTTTTCAGTAGTTTTTCAATTATACGCCTAGTTGTGATTTCTTTGTATTTACTCTATTTGGGATTCATAGTGTTTCTTGAATCTGTAGCTTGAAGATTTTTATCTCTTTTGGAAAGTTATCAGCCATTATCTTTTAAAATATTACTTCTGCCTCCATTCTCTTTCTTCCAGTTACTCATGTTAGACCTTCACCATCTCCCTTATGCTTTTTATGCTCTTTTCTATATTTCTTATGCTTTTGTCTTTCCTTGCTTCAGTTTGGATATCATCTACAAAACTATCCTTCATTTCTCTAATTCTTTCCTTAGCTATTTCCAACCTGCTATTAAATCCATCTGTTGAATTGATTTCAGTTATTCTGTTTGGCAGTGCTACAATTTTTATGTGTTGAAAAAATGACTTCCAGTTCTCTGCTGAAAATATCAGTCTTATTTCTTTGAATGTATTAAGCATAATTATCTTAATATCTGTATTAGGTGACTCCATTAACTTAATGCCCTATGGTTCTATTGCTATCCTCTTCATTTTCTGTGGTTCTGTCTCCTCATACACCTCCTATGGTTATTTTTGATTGAGTGCTATCTATTGAATATGAAGAATTATAGTGATAATTTGAGGCCTAGGATAGTATCTTCCTCCACAAGAGATTTATTTGCTTCTGCTGGGAAGATTAGAGACACCAACAATTTAGATTGCTATTTTTTAATCAGGGTTGAGCTGTTTTGAAGCTGGGCTTCAGCGTCTGTGAAAGCTGGGTCAATTCTTCATTCATCTTTATTCTTAGGCTGCAGCCTTTCAGGGTCCCAACACAAAACCAGGTCTCTTCCATTGGGCATGTTTAAAATTATCCCTCAGCTTCATCAGCTTGTCAAACTTACTTTCAGCTTCCCACTGTCTTTCACCTTTTCCAGAATTGGCAGACCTTTAGAGAGGAAATAGTCCCAAATATCAGGCTCACCTCCATTTCTGGGTTTCTTTCTCTAATGCTTTGATAATTCTCCAGTGCCTTCGAATAGTTCTTTTAAAAAGTTATTTTTCTTTAGCTCTGCTTTTCAAGTTATCCTAAGTAGGAGGCTTGGTCAAAATTACTAGTCCACCATTGCCAGAAACAGAAACCTACCTTTAGAGTACATACTGATTTTTATTTATTTATTTTTTTATTGAGGCTTTTCTTCCACAGTGAGAGTATTGTGAGGATTAAATGAATTTATATAAAGTGCTTAGAACAGTGCATACAATAAATACCATGTATTAGCTATTAGAATTTCCTTACAAGGATGCATGCTTGTCACTCACTGGAAAAGTGGAAGATATAAATGCACAACATTTCATAAATCATATTTAAGACTTTCATTTGCAAAATGAAAATGCCTGTTTCCACAATATAAAATGTAAAACTTACTCTTTTTAGCTGTGGTCATATGCAGAAAATAGAGCAGTGATGATCAGTTTTAAAGATTAGCAGGTTTGGGAGGGTGGACAAGGGCAATATGCTGGTCTCCATAGGATGTGATTTTTATTTATCAGAAGACAGAATGGGATAATGGTTAAAAATACTCTAAATTATAGTAAAGATTAGGCATGTCTGGAGAGAAAAGAGAATTAACTTCCTCTAGAATCCCTCCCCCCTGGTTGTGACAACCAAAAGCATTTCCAGACATTGCCAGATGTTTGCTGGTTGGTAAAATACAGCTGGTTGAGAATCACTGCTCTCAGGTTTTCGAAAATTCCAGCCTAGATAATCAAATCACTTAATACTCACTCACTGCCTCTCAACCCCACCTGGCAACAAATGTAAAAACCCATTAGTGAAGACAATTTATAAACTCTTTTAAAATCTTTCTCTTACATTAGATCTTCTTGTTTGGCTTAGCAGTATTCTCTGAAATATCATCTTTGCTCTTTCATCTTAAAAAATGCATGGCATTTAACAGGATAGGAGTGGTTTTGTACAACTTGGTCCCGGACTTCTCATAGGATTCAAAGGAGGATGAAGATATGAGGGGTACGGGTGGTGGGGAGAAGTATTTTGATTTGAGGATTATATTTGAAACACTGATTTAATTATTTAGTGTCCAAACTATTCCTTGTTTTCTAAAGACCTGTTCAAAGTCTCGTTGTTCCTGTCCTCAAAAGAAAAGACACATTGATCTAAGGAGGCCTCATCGACAGGAACTGTGTGGTCGCTGCAAAGACAAGAGATTCTCCTGTGGCAATACTTACAGCTTTAAATACATCATGTGACAGGCAGTATAAATTGTACAGGACACCCAAGTCTCCTTGTAACTCACTGTACTGTTCCTTTTTTGCAACTTAGCTCTGAGCTGATATTGGAAAATGGATTAGGCTTTTGTACTTTTTGTAGGTTGTATAACAATTGTACAGTGTGAGTGGAATAAAATAAATGCATGTAAAATAGACCGTGAAGGTACATTAATTGTGATCATGGGGTAAAAAACCTCCATATGGCAGTGGGAAATAGTAGATACTGTCCCTTATATAAAGGGAACAATGAAGAGGAACAATAGTCATTTGACAGACTTTTTATCAGCTGTGTGTTCTAAGCACTGGGAACACAGATGATCGGGGGCAAGGTCCTTGCCTTCAATAATTATAGCAAATGCTTAAACAGCACTTACGTGCTAGGGATTGTAACTCATCATAGCAGCCATATTAAGTAGAAACTACTATACTGTTTCTTAACAGATGAGGAGGGAGCCACAGAGAGATCATAGTATAGAGCCAGAATTTGAACCCACATGGGCTTGAACTTGCTCCATGGCTTGAACTACTACATTTACACTTTCTTTTTCTCAGATTCAGATGTGGTAAGTCCTATGAAGGAAACAGTGCTATCATAGAGTGAGCTTTTAGACTGTGTGGTTGGGATGAGGGAGCAGGAGAATTGAGACCTGCAGGATGGAGGGAGCAGGAGAAAAGAAGATGGTTTTCATCCAAGGGAACAGCAAGAGCAAAGGCTCTGAGTGTGTGGGCCACATAGTTGGTATGTCCCAGGAATAGGGGCCCCTCAAGCTAATGTGGGACAGAGGCTGGAGAGGACAGGGCTCAGGTCACAGAAAGTTCTTTTGGCCATGGTCAGGCATGCAGCAGCCCATAAAGGAGTTTCAACAAGACCGTGACATCAGGTTCTTTAAAAAAAACTCCCTCTGTTGGGGGAAGACCAGAATGTACAAGCAGAATGATGGCTCAGACAAGGGTGATGGCATGGAGATGGAGAGAAGTACATCAAGATAATGTTGGAATTATACAGTATTGGAAGTGGATGATGCAGAAATAAATGACTTTTAGATTTCTACTTTGAGCTATGGGGCAGATGGAATTGAGAGGTATAATATTTAGGAGCATATTCTGGAGGAATATGCTAACTTCAAATCCTGGGTGTGGTAGATGTAAGTTTGTGAGCAAATTACAGGCATACCTTAAAGCTATTTCAGGTTCAGTTCCAGACCACCGCAATAAAGTGAGTATCTCAATAAAGTCAGTCAAATGAATTTTTTAGTTTTCAGTACATATAAAAGTTATGTTTACCTATATTGTAATCTATACTATGGTCTATTAAGTGTGCAATAGCATTACTAAAAAATGTACATAATTCAAAAATAATTTACGGCTAAAAAATGTTAAACATAATCTGAGCTTTCAGTAAGTTGTAATTTTTGCTGGTGGAAGGTCTTGGCTTGATGTTAATGGCTGCTGACTGATCAGGGTGGTGCTTGCCTACTGACTGATTAGGGTGGTTGGGATGGCTGTGGCAATTTCTTATTTCTTATTTTAAGACAACTATGAAGTTTGCCTCATCCATTGACTCTTCCTTTCATGAATGATTTCTCTGTAGCGTGTGATGCTGTTTGATAGCATTTTACCCACAGTAGAACTTCTTTCAAAATTGGGGTCAATACCCTCAAACTATACAGCTGTTTTATCAATGAAGTTGATGTAATATCCTAAATTCTTTGTTGTCATTTCAACCATCTTCATAGCATCTTCACCAGGAGTAGATTCCATTGCAAGAAACCACTTTCATTGTTCATCCATAAGAAGCAACTCCTCATCTGTTCAAGTTTGATCATGAGATTGTAGCAATTCAGTCACATCTTCAGGCTCCACTTTGAACTCTAGTTCTCTCATTATGTCCACCACATCTGCAGTTACTTCCTCCATTGAAGTCTCGAACTCCCTCAAAGTCATCCAGGAGGATTGGAACCAACTTCTTCCAAACTGTTGGCATTGTCCCATGAATCATGAATGCTCTTTTTTGTTGTTATTTTTAAAGATTTAATTTATTTGAGAGAGAGAGAGAGAGAGAAAGTGGGGGGAGGAGTAGAGGAAGCAGGACAAGCAAATTCTGTGCTGAGCATGGAGCCGGGATGTAGGGCTTGATCCCATGACCCTGAGATCATGACCTGAGCCGAAATCAAGAGTCAGATGCTTAACCCACTGAGCCACCCAGGTGCCTTGTAAATCACAGATGTTCTTAATGGCATCTAGAATGGTGAATCTTTTTCAGAAGTTTTTCAAGTTACTTTGCCCAGATCCATCAGAGGAATCACAGTCTATGACAGCTATAGCAGTGTGAAGTGTATTTCTTAAATAAGACTTGGATGTCAAAATTATTCCTTGATCTCTGGGCTGTAGAATAGATTATATGTCAACAGGCATGAAAAGAACATTAATCTCATTGTAAGTCTCCATCAGAGTTCTTGGGTGACCAGGTACATTGTCAGTGAGCAGTAATATTTTGAAAGGAATCTTTTTCTGAGCAGTAGGTCTCAATAGTGGGCTTGAAATATTGTTAGACATGTTGTAAACAGATGTGCTGTCATCCAGGCTTTGTTTTTCCATTTATAGAGCATAGACAGTAGGTTTAACATAATTCTTAAGGGCCCTAGAATTTTCAGAATGATAAGTGAATATTGTTTTCAGTTTAGTCACCAGTTGCATTAGTTCCTAACAAGATAAGCTTTGAATCCAGGCATTGACTTCTCTCTTGCTGTGAAAGTCCTCGATGGATCTTCTTCCAATAGAAGGCTGTTTTGTCTACATTGAAAATCGGTTGTTGAGTGTAGCCACATTCATGAATTATCTTAAGCAGATCTTCTGGATAACTTGCTGCAGCTTCTACACCAGTGCTTACAGCTTCACCTTGCACTTTTATGTTATGGAGTTGGCTTCTTCCCTCAAACCTCATGAACCCACCTCTGCTGGTTTTAAACTTGTATAGCTTCCTCACCTCTCTCTGCTTTCTTAGAATTACAGAGAGTTAGGGCTTAAGGGAATGTTGTGACTGATTTGATCTTCCTCTATCCACACCACTCAAACTTTCTCCGTATCAGCAAAAAGGCTATTTTACTTTATCATTGTGTGTTCACTGGAGCAGCACTTTTAAAAAATTTTTTTATTGTTATGTTAATCGCCATACATTACATCATTAGTTTTTGATGTAGTGTTCCATGATTCATTGTTTGTGTATATCACCCAGTGCTCTATGCAGAACATGCCCTCTTTAATACCCATCACCAGGCTAATCCATCCCCCCACCCCCCTCCCCTCTAGAACCCTCAATTTGTTTTTCAGGGTCCATCGTCTCTCATGGTTCGTCTCCCCCTCCAATATCCCCCCATTCATTCTTCCTCTCCAGCTATCTTCTTCTTCTTCTTTTTTTTTTTTTTAACATATATTGTATTATTTGTTTCAGAGGTACAGATCTGTGATTCAGCAGTCTTGCAATTGTGCAAGACTGGAGCAGCACTTTTAATTTCCTTCAAGAACCTTTCCCTTGCACTCACAATTTGGCTACCTGTTTGGCAAGTGAGACTTAGCTTTTGGCCTATCTCAGCTTTTGACATGCCTTCCTTACTAAGCCTAATCATTTCTAGCTTTTGACTTAAAGTGAGAGATGTGCAACTCTTCCTTTCACTTGAACATTGAGGGACCATTGTAGAGTTACTCATTGGCCTAATTTTAATATTGTTGTGTCTCAGGCAAAAGGGAGGCCTGAGGAGAGGGAGAGAGATGGGGGAATGGCTGGTTGGTGGTACAGTCAGAACACACATAACATTTACTGATTAAGTTTTTCATCTTATATGGGCTCAATTTGAGGCACGCCAAAACAATTACAATAGTAACATGAAAGATCACAGATCATCATAACAAATAATGAAAAAGGTAGAAATACTGTGAGAACCACCAAAATGTGACACAGACACAAAGTGAGTAAATGCTATTGGGAAAAATGGTGACGATAGACTTGCTTGACATAGAGTTGCCACAAACCTTCAAAGTCCGGTAAAATGAAGTACTGTAAAACAAGATATGCCTCTACTTAACTCTCCATGTCTCAGTTACTCTTCTGTAAAATGGGGATAATCCTAGTACCTGTCTCTTGGTGGTGGCCTGAGGACTAAAGGAGCTGATATGTGTTATGCACTGAAGATCATATCTGTAGCATTGTGAGGGCTCAGTAAACAGCTGTTCTTACTTTGATGGAGCTATGTAGTGAGATGGGGAGAGGGTTTCTGTTTCAGTATATTAGGTTTGAAATATTTGAGACATCCAAATGGACACATCATGTAGGCTCTTGAGTATATGAATTTGGAATTTAGGAGAGCTGTCAGAGCTGTGTGTGAAAGAGAGAGATTTGGAGGTAAAAAATACATAGTTTTTAAAGCCTTGGGTCTGGATGGGCCCACCTAGGAGGAAAGCACAGTACAGGGCTCTGGGGGCACACCAACATTTAGAGCAATGATTCTAAAACTCTCATGTCCCAGGAGTTATCTGGTGATCATGTTAATTGCAGATTCTGATCCTGTAGGTTTGGGGTCTGAGTCTGCAAATCTAACAAAGTCCCAGATACTATTAATGCTGCTGGTCTTCTGGATCACACTTTAACTAGCAGGAGATTAGAGATTAGGTAAAATAGGAGATGAAGAGGGATAGGAAGAGGAGGGTGTCACAAAAGCAAAGCTAAAACAGTATTTCCAGTTCAACTGAGTCAATTCCTGTGGTGAGTGAGAAAGATGAAGATAGACAGGTCTGTTGGAATGGCGACGTGAAGGTTACTGATGATCTTGAAAGAAGTTTTTGATGGAATGGTGGGGATGGAAGCCCGAGTAAAGAAAGTCAAGACAGTGAATAGAGATAATACTTTCTAGAAGTTTTGCTGTTAAAAAGCAGAGAAATTAGTGGTAGCCAGAAGGGCATTTGGGGGAAAAGTGAGATATTGAGTACATTTGTATATTAATGGAAATAATTCGGTAGAGAGAAATTGATGGTACAGTCAGTGGAGGACATGCCCACAGGGGCAAAGCCCTTGAAAAGGGAGAACAGATGAAATCCAGAGCACAAGTGGAAACAATAATATTTTCTTTATTGTAAAAGGATGGAACACCTA